GTAACATCGAGCGGGGAGCGGAAGTTGGTCTCCTGCAGAAAGAGGAGGTCGATGCCCTTAGATCGGGCGAACGTCACTACAGCGGCCTGTTTATTCCTGTCGCGAAAGCCACGGATGTTTAGTGTGGCGAACCGCAGCGTAGACATGTTCCGCCAGTCGGAGCGCCGTGCCTCTCTTGGGGGGAAAAGGAGCGATGAAAGGCGAGATAACTAGGCGAGTTGGGCATCAGCGGAGCGCGGGCGAAGGGGAGCGAGGAGGGTGCTGCACTAGAACGGGGAAGGGGCCCAGCCAGGTGAGTGGGACAGCAGAGGGTGAGGGGAAGCGGGAGAGCGGAAGGCGGCGAGGCCGTCGGAGCAGGCGCGCCGCTTCTTTCTTCAGGTAGCCTTCTCAGGACTTCGGCGGCGGCTCCCGTTTGCCCCCACCAGCTTGTTCAAGCATCTGGGACTTCGCATCGGGCGGAGCGTCACTGTCCCTACTTTGGCCTACCAGTCCTTATCTGCGCTACCGGGCGTCCTTGCTAACCGTCCTCTCGTCTACGTCGCGCTTGTCGTCGCCAGGGCGTCTTCGCGAGCGTGAGCGTGACCACTGCTCAAGGGCCGTGGGGCGACTGACCCGCCTTCTCATCAGACTTTCGGCTTAACCATGCCGGTGGTGTGGGGGAGGGACAAGTCGGGGTTGAGTTCTTGCGCTCGCCTTCCTAGGGTAGCTCGTAGTACCCTTTGCTCTTAATGGGCAGTTCGTCCTGAGCGGGGTCTCGGGGATGGGCCTCCAGGTCTTCAGAGGTAACTAGCGCTAGTACGTTAGCCGGCATTGGCGGGATGGAGGGGAGGGCCCTTCCCAGTTCAGTGACGTCGTCGACAGGCGCCTTTTGTACTGGAGTCAAAATGGCGCGGTTCACCTGGTCCGCCGGGAGTGCCAGTGGTGAAGGGGGGGGGGGCGTACTGCGCGGAAGCGGTATCCGAGAAACTGGGCTCTGTTTCAAAAGGCGCGGCGGTAACCTTCTCGCTCGTCTCGCTCTTCTCTCTCTCGCTGGCAGGTGAATCCACCTCGCTACTGCTAGTAGATGAGTCGGTGTTTATGGCGTCGTCGATTCGCTCTCTCGCTGCTGTGCGGGGCTTGGTCTTAGGTGCAAGCACCTGGAGGCGCGATTGTGGCTTATCTGACCGGGGCGATAGTGAGCCACTAGGTGGGGCTAGGTTAGACGCGTGGTCGGAAGTCGAGGGGAACCCGCGGGCGGCCGACGCGTAGGATCGCCTTCTGAAAGCATTCCCTCGTCCCGTGGTGACCCCCACAACGCTTACATTCACTTGTACAGCCCTCGGTGTCATGCCCGAAGGTTCCGCACCGTTTACAAAAAGGAGCGGAGCATGCCGTCGCCATGTGGCCCACTTCGCCGCAGCGTGCGCAAACTCGCCTCATACCGCGGTACTCGAACATTACGCGGTGCCCTGCGATAGTCGCGAAGTTTGGCACCGGTTTGCTCATCTCGATCTTTATGACCCTTACGCCGTTGAGCTTGTTTTGGCGTGTGGCCACAGTGGCGAACGATATGCCCCTCACTTTGCCGTACTGAGCAAGGGCGTTGCTAAGTACCTCGTCGGACAAGTAGGCGGGGTACCGGTAGGCATTTACGTACGTGACCGGCGGCCCTACGGCCTCAACCGGTACGTTTTCGCCGTTAACCCGGAACCCTTCCGCCACCATTAACCTTGTCGCCTGACTGGCGTTACGCGTACAGACGAGGAACCTAGCCCCGCCCATGTGCTGAAGGACAAACACACTATCTTCCCCAGATACTAGTTCTACCGCGTCGATAAGGTCATCGATGGATACGTCGCCTTCGGGCGCTGTAAACATAAAGCAATTCTCCCTCACCGGGAGGTCGGACGTCGACGCCATTCTGGTGCGCGTTGCCGCTGGCTGCCAGGAAGGCGTGGCTAGTTGAAACTGGTATCGTGCAGGCTAGCTGCACACTGGTAGAACTGCGGCTCAGCCGAGGCGGGTGCCGCACGGATACAGGAGGCGCCGGGTGGGTAGCAGGAGGACTCCGGGACGGCAGGCGTAGACCGGGGGCCTTGCTTCACCAGGCATGGGATGGGTGGGCGCCGGACAGGGAGGTCCGAGGCTCGGGGCGGCGGTCGCACGTGCAGGACGGCGATGCCGCGTAAGCTAACTTTGGCGACTTGAACCCCGGGGTCGACGTCAGCGGGACGTGACCCTGGGTCTCGCGCGAGGCGCAAAGAAACGGCTAGCTCGACAATTGGTCTAGCCAAAAGGCCGAGAAGCGATGCAATTCATTAGCACGTAATTAAAATCCATTCTTTCACACCTCGTACTTAGTTCTGGCCAAAAGCCGGGCAAACAGTAGCAAAGCAATTCCGACGTCCACCCATGCACAACCAGCATTGTGCACCGACAGCGGCAGCGCTGGCTTCACGGCATTGCTTTTATCCCCAGTCCGCTTGAAGTTTCTAGTTTCGCTTACAAACATGTTAAAACTGAAACCTTCTTTTTCCCAGAGGTCGAAGCCACGCGTGCTTGCTTGCATGCGTACTCTCTATGCGCCCATGACGTCACACCAAATGCTTGCCGGCGAACATTATCAGGCATGTCGCGAGGGATGCTACAGCACTTGTTTTAAAAACTGATGCATAGTGTACATGTCCAACTCGAGCACCAAAGTCTGGAAGGAAAAAAAAAATGACTGTGCAAAATGTGAATACGTCACCCATCCAACATGGCTTCTACGCCGGCTGCCCAAGCAACGCCTCTGCAACGACGCCCACAATCATCGGCAAAAAGTTGGTGCCTTAGGCTGCTTCAGCACGCTCAACATATGCCTTGCAAGTTCCGACGTGGCGGAACACCGCACCGAGGTCGACGAAGGTCCTGCCGTGAAAGGCAGACCCGGGAATGCGTGCGAAACGTCTACCGCGTGGGTTGTGAAGCCGGTGAATGAAGGATCATGTGGCAGAGGGTGACGGAACGTGAGTGTGCGACTTGCCGCTGCGATGTCGTTCAAGCGTTCAACGGGCCGGCAGGTTCTGTCTGTCGTGGTCGAAAACGTCCGAGTTTTGCTGATTCCGAGGGGTAGGAGTGCTATGGTGGCGTGTACGAGGCGCTGGTGCGGCGCTCCGTCGATCGTGCCGGACGGACATGAGGCGGCCGAAGGCGGTCGTCAAGTGGTCGCGGAAATCAGTGGAGAAGTACTCGCCTGCGCTTTTCGTCGAAGACTCGCGACAGACGGTCTTCGGGAGACACGGGTGGTTGCACAAATGCGACCGTGCGTCAACGTGCAGCCATATTCGTGGATTATTTCGCCCCATTACGATAGCTTCGTCACTGCGCTCGCTGGTGTTGCTTGTTTTTGTTGACCTTCACTTGTGGCTCACACCCACTGTGGGGGATTGGCTGGTTTGTTGTTCTGCTTCTTCGACTTCTACATACTCGGCTTAGTGAAGCTGTGAGGAGTGACGAGTGGGTACGGAGGCAAAGCGCGCCCGGGGCGTGATCTCACGCGTCCTGGGGTCCACGTCGCTTCAGGTACGTGCGTGGTGCGTCCGTACGTCTAGTGCGCAATTTTCTTGGAACTTCCAGCAACTGGCAATTCCATTGAGGTGAGCGTGCGAGGATGTTCGTTGTAATTAACGAGAGCCAACGGTGGATGAGCTGGTATGAGATGGTGTTCAGAAATGAAGTGTTTGATCAACAAGGCGATGCCCGCCGTGGTGGTCTGATGGCCGTAAGGTACTCGGCTGCTGACCCGCAGGTGGTGGGATCGAATCCCGGCCGCGGCGGCTGCATTTCCCTGTGCTCAGATTAGGGTGCACGTGAAAGAACCCCAGGTGGTCGAAATTTTCCCATAATCATATGGTGGTTTTGGGACGTCAAACCCCAAAGGTCAGTGGACATAGGAAAAGCACATCGGGGCTTTGCCGCTCCACCGTACAGCAGGTGTGTGCGGAGTGGGTCCTGTGGCGTTCTTTGCGATTTTAATTTGTGATGGGGAATAGTGTAGATGCGTAGACGTGGCGAGAGCACGCGTCTTCAGGTTCAGACGCCGCGTGAAGATGTGAAATAAAAATGCCTTCGCTTGCCACTGCAACTGTAAACAGAAACACCAACCAAACCCCATTTTCTAGAGGCTTTTTTATTTTTCGTTGCGAAACGGGTGAATTCGAAAAGCGGAAATAGCTTGGCACATACATACACACTTCTACACACATACATACATACACATCGCACATGCATACACATCGTATACACACTTCTAGCTTTCCTCCGAAACAGTAATGATAATTTCCTCAATAGTTTTATTAATATGAGTAGGAATGTTAAAAAAATAAGAAACTTGAGTATGTACGTGTGAACATAACAAAATAAAAGAGACCCTCCATATATGAAATACACACGGAAACATTTATTTTCCCAGAGCAATCGTAAGTGTAAACACAGCTAGCGCACTCCCTGCACGCGAATACCGCGTCAGCCGGGGCGGCGTGCCGCCACCGTCTCGGACACTCGACGCACCCACGCCGTTTACCCCGGTATCATGGGTAAATCCGAACACTCCTTCTATCATTGAATTTATTGTCGAACTCACCCCGCAGGGGGTGAGTGGGCCGATCCCGGAGGTAGTGCAATACCGGGCCAACCCGTGGCGGAGGTGAAGCAAGCTTCAAGCACTCCGCCGCATCACAAAAATAAGTTTAATATCTTGGATCCAAATAGGATCCGTATCAGATATTAAGCTGATAAGAACAGAGTGTAATTTTATTATGTTTCAGACAATGCATGGATGTCTTGGAATTAGCCGGACGACATCGTTTTGTTCCTGTACATAGCACCGGGATAGCCAGTTGGAAGTGGACACGGATGGTGGTACCAGGGACGCCAGGGTGTTGATCATCACAGGAACCGCCGGAACAGCAGCGGCTTAGTCAGGGCACCTGGCAGGTGGTAGGCGATGTGGCGACGTAGTACGGTAGGTCTTGTCTTGGTCATCGGTCGTCTAGCTGCGTCCATGTCCCACGTGCGCGTGGTAGATGGCGCGGGACGCTGCCACCACCTCGCTCACGCAGAGTTTCTTCATGAGACGCAGGTAGCTGCGGGAGCACAGGACGCTGGAGGACGCGGTCGTTGGCCGGGTCCCAAGCGCCGAGAGCCCCGACGATGACGGCGGCCACCGTTACTCTCTGGTAGCGGCGACGCAGGTAGTCGGCGACGGGTTGGTAGCGTGCGACCTTGTCGTTTCGCGTGTTGGTAAAGGCCTCCGGTGTATTCTCGAACGGGCAAGCCACGTCGATCACCAGGGCCTCCTCCCCGCGAACCAGGACAAGGTCAGGACGCAGTCCGGTGTCGCCGACCGGCCGGTTCTCGTACGCTACGGTGTAGTCGCGGGCAGCGGCCGTGCGAAGGCGCGAGACCACCGCGTTGTGCCGTGCCTGAGACATGGCGCTGTGCGTCATGCAGTGGCAAAGCACGTGCGGTAGCGTCTCCCTCGCGTAGCCGCAGACCCGGCAACGCTGGTCTCGGTCAGTAGGGCCCCACATGACGGCGCCATTCAGGGGTAGCAGGTTGAGGCGCGCCCGGTGGATAAACCGCCAGTCGGCGAAGTGCGTGAATGCTCCCGTGGTGATGAAATGGGAGCTCGCACGATCCGCCGAGACGCAGGCCATCACCTTCCCCTGGTTGGGTTGGTCATGGAGGGCGTTGTCCCGGACGTGGGCCAGCACATCTCGTAGCGTCCGCATGACCCGGTTCCTCTGTGTTGAAGGAAGCGTTGCGTCGCCGCAGGTGATGGTGACGTGGTCCGGCCGCAGGGACCACGAGACTTGTAGCCTTCGGGATGCCTTACGGGCCTCGGTCCACACGCTGCGCAGCTGGGTTGCCGGCCTTGAGTGGACGACCTGTCGGTCGCCAGAGAGGTACGCCTCCAACTCGAAACGGGTAGCCTCCCATCCGAGGCGGGTGGAGGCGATCTCGTAAGCGTCGGACAGGGCGAGATCCCGCAACGACTGGTCTGAAGTCGTCAGGAGCTTGAAAGCGGAGTCGATACGACAGATGTCGTATAACTCCGCTGCCACCGGTATCGCTACTGCTCCTCCGGAGGCGCTCCCGTAGACATAGTTCGTCGAGGCGTTCACCGGTAGGTAGAGTGTTCGCTTGACCATGGGCCTGATGGCAAGGTCCAACCGGTGCCAATCTGTTTTAGTCAGGGCGCCGCACCTCATGGAGAAGTTGAGGGCGGGGAACACAAATGTCTTGAGGGCGTCAATACGCTGCCAGGGGGCTAGAAGGGACGAAAATATTGCCGTGGCGTTGCGTATGGCGTCGTCAATGACATTGGCTCCCGCTCTCTGTGGAAGGCGGAAACCCACCGGGCGTCCGAGGTAGCGGAGCGGCTCGGAGTCGCTCAAAGCTGTTACCGGGACGCCGGAGACCCGGAACACGGTTGGCCGCATTCCGACGGGGGTGACGCCGCTGAGGTGCAAGGTCGTACACTTGCTCGGGTTGAGAGATAGCCCGAGCGGTGTTGATAGCGCCTCGACCATGTCGATGCGTTGCTGGAGAAGAGCAGGACAGTCGGCCAGGGGCGTCAGGTCGTCGGCATAGGCGAGGATGTTGTGGTCGTCGCCCTGTGCCTTGGACGCCTCGAATCACAGGGTCTATGACCAGGTTGAAGAGCAACCCGCTGAGCGGGCAGCCCTGGCGTAGACCCGAGTGGATGGCGACCGGATCTGTCGTGCCCTCTGCAGCAACGATGACAGTTTGGTTGTCACGGTACAGGTCCTCGATGAGGGCGGTGAACGTATCCCCAGCACCGGAACCACGGAGGGCGTCCAGGAGGGCTCGGTGAGGCACGGACCCGTAGGCGTTTGCGAAGTCCAAAAGGGCCGCGCAAAACTCCGTGCCACCAGCTCTGGCTGCGTCCATGCGGTGCTGAAAGATGTAATTCAGTTCGAAAACGCCATCATACGGGAGGAAACCTTTCTGGCACTTTGACAAGACCTGGTGATCCATGATCCAGGCTTGTAGGCGCGACGCAAGGCACTTGGCGTATAACTTAGAGGCAGTACTGCCGAGTGCAATGGGGCGCCAGTTGCCCGGGACAGAGGGATCACCTTTCTTGTATATGAGTACCGTACGCGACGTTCGCCATGAGTCCGGGGTGCGACGGTGGTGGACGCAGGCGTTGAAAAGGGCGGACAGGAAGCGGGCCTCCGGGTCGACGGACCTCCAGTGGTGGTACGTCAGTCTGTCAGGACCGGGAGCCGTATTCTCCGACTTCCGGAGCCGGAGGAGAACCTCGTCCGCCGAGAAGGACGCCGTGTCGACCGGGACAGGGGCCGCGGGCCGCTGGAACAGCGCTGAGGTGTCTGCCGTGCGAGGTGACCAGGTGGAGGCCCAATGGTCCTGGATGTCTGGTATGGGGATGGTACAGGACCGTGTGGGACCCTCCATGATCAGGCGCACGGCACGTCGGCGGTTCCTGCGGTAGAGACGCTGGATCTGCGTGGCGTTGTCAGGGTTGACGTCTCGAGCAGGGCGTCCCGGTGTTGACGGGGGGAGGCGGACAGCCTCCGCGGCCAGAGCAACAGCCTGAGACCACGCCTGCTCACACGTCGCCCATGAGTCTGGTGTTGGAGCTGAACGGAGCGTGGCTCGCAAGACGCGGACCTGCTCCGCAAGCAGCATGGTGCGGTCCGGTGGCATCTCCATCGTCGGTGCTTCGACAGGAGTGTCGTGTGCACCGTCGTCGGCTTCATCTGCGCCAGTGTCTTCCAACCGCTCGGAAAGGGAAGGGGATGAGGAGGAGCGGGAATTGGTCGACAGAGGGCGGCGGTCGACGACGATGCCGGCAGCTGGGACACTCTGTTCGTCCACCGGCTCGTTGGCCGATGCGTCGTCGGAGTCGTCGGTACCGGAGACGTCGGTAAGCCCCGTGGACATCCGTGAGGAAGCCCTTGAAGCCGACGACGTGGAGCCGGGACCGGTACGGCGACGAGAAGACGAGCCGGGCGTGGATGAGACCTCGCCAGTCGTGGACTGGGGACCAGGATCTGGTGGCACGGACGGTGGCGTTCCGGGACCCGAAGGCGATTGCCGAGGCGTAGAAGAGCCGGAGCCAGAAGTTGGGGAGGAGTGGCCTGGCATAGTAGACGCCTCGGAACTTGACACCGACGGAGAACCGGTTGCCGAAGTGCTGGAGGCCGACCCGGTACAGGAAGATGGCGTCGATGTGGAAGAATGGCCTCCACGACGTCTTCGAGACCGGGAAACGGTTGCTCGGGTCTGTGGTGCTGGTACTGCTCGGCAAGTTGTACCGGAAGGAGCTGGGCCGGAGCGTGGTGTGGTCTCTGTGCCAGAGGAACTGGAGGTAGTCGCCGTAGGCTGCCGTGGGGGGCGAAGAGGTACAAATGGAGTGGACTCCTCTTGCGCATGCCGTGCCATGGTGTGCCGGGCCAAGGAGCGTTCGCAATTGAAGCTCTTCGGGCAATACCGGCAGGGGTGGTAAGGCTCGTTCGAGGCAGGACCCGGGCAGTCGTGGCGGGCGGACAGCGAATTCAACCGGGCATCACAGGCGACGCACCGGTAGAGCCGCTCCGTTGGCCGAACCCCGTGTTTCTGCTCCATGTGGGACCGCCACGCGGACAGTCGGAGCGAGACTGATGTGCGGGCTTGGCAGCCCGCGCAACAGGGATACGGACAACGAAGGATCCCAGGCACCGGCAGGTACACCGTCATGATGCCCTGGTGAATGACGGGCGGTCGGGAGCGAGGAGGGCCCGATGCTGTCGCTGAAACGCCAGTAGACGCGGGTGTGCCAGGACGAGGCCGCTGGGCCGGCGGGGGCGCCGGTGTGCTCGTCCCCGAAGGGGGAGCGGGACGCCGCCGACGGCTACCGGAACCCAGGAAGAGCGGCTCGACGGACACGGCAGGTGGCCGGCGGGGGGTAGGCATGGCCAGGCAGGGACTTCTCCAGGTCCTCGTGGACGGACGTCCGGGCAGGAAGGCCGGGGCGACGGCGACGACGTCGGCGAAGTGGTCACGAAGACCGGGGTCCGCTGGTGTCACCAGCAGGCATTGGCGACCGGACCGGGAGTGGCAGGCAAGGAAAGGCTTGTAGACTCTCACCACTCCCGGAGGGCGTCTTCTCCCGCTGGCTTGACTGGAACGCCCGGTCGGTCGGTGTCCACGTCCCCGTGGCTTGATGTCCGGTCCGGTAGGCTCCGACGACGGCGGCGATGAAGTGGTCACGAGGACCGGGGCCCGTGGGTGTCGTCAGCAGGCATTGACGACCGGGCCGGGAGTGGCAGGCAAGAAAAGGCTCGTGGACTCTTACCACTCCCGGAGGGCGTCTGCTCCTGCTGGTGGGCCCGCCGCGTCGGTAGATGGCCGGAGACTCCTTCGAAGGTGCAGCAGGGCCGAGGAACCAGGTGGACCCAGGAACAGCGTAGCTCCGTGCGACCAGGGGGGGGGGACCTTCCAGGGCGGCCGGCTCCCCGGGAGGGACCGTTCTCGTCTTTTGGCTGTAAAGATCAAAAGTGAGAGAGCCACTTTGATCATAGCCAAAAGACCAGGATCGCTTCTCATCCTACACAAAGAGAAATTTTATTTCTTTTCATTGAAAGTAACTGGGCAACGCAGTGCCGATCAGGCAAGTACAATGTGTGCGGATAATACTGCATTTTGTACAGGGGTGCCCGTACGCTCTAGTTTAAGCGCTATTATGTGGCGCACTCAATTATCTATGCACACGTGTACATACTATACAGGTGCAGAAATAAGAACACTACGTAATACTAGGATATACGAAGGGGGAGGGAAAAGCACGCAATTGCGGGACGGAAAAAAACACGAGGAATATATACAAACACCAATAACATAAAAACCTTCTACATGGTGTTCACAGGGTAAAGGAAGACGGTGGTGACACGCGGGACAAAAAAGGTTCTCAAGAGAACATAAAAACAAAACATCAGGAACCGGTAGCTTTCCCCAAAGTAAACAAAACTAAACACTAAAGTATTTACAAAAGGAACCTTAGCCAGATAAAGTATATACAATATTGTCACGCACCAAGAGCCGTGAAGACAAGACAGGAACAGCGGGGCAGGAAGACACGAGCGTGTATCTTTCAACGAAGCGCTAACACACACTTCTTCGTTTTCTTTTCCCTTTTCGGCTCGCTAGGACTTGCCGGCTCACAACTCCAGGTGGCATTATTCCCTTCTCTCATTAGAGAATAGACTCGATGCTCATACACAACATGATAGCAGGGCCCATAAGGGAATAAAAAGAAAGGGAGAAACAATGCTTATAGTGCACAGAGATATGCAGGTGCTAAAAAAAACAACTGTCTGTGGTTGGTCATAAGAAAAAAAACATTAATACAGTTCAAAGTTCGTTCGAGACCTTATGGACAACGAAAAAGTAATGTTTGCTGCCCTTGCGCAATAAGGCGAGTATTACTGCGTAAAATAAGGTTTTAAACGGATGACATGCACAATCTCTTTTCGTGGTCAGTGGCGCTGGGTCGTTGTCGAGCCTCCATTTGGAATGACTTCGTAGTTGACCTCGTTCAACCGCCGTAATACTTTGTAGGGTCCGAAGTACTTGCTCCGGAGTTTCTCGCTGAGACCTCGCCATCTAACAGGAGTCCAAACCCACACTTGGTCGCCAGGTTGATAGGTAACTGGTCGATGGTGGATGTTGTACCTTCGAGAGTCTTTACATTGCTGCGATCTTATGTGCACGCGGGCTAGTTGACGTGCTTCTTCTGCTCGCTGAATGTAATCCTCGACATCAGGAGTTAGCAGCTCGTGCTGGTCGATGTCACAAGGAATCATGGCGTCTAGCATGGTTTGCACGTCTCGACCGTAAATGAGGGGGAAGGGTGCGAACCTTGTCATTTCCTGGGTTGCGGTGTTATACGCAAACGTTACGTATGGCAGGATCTCGTCCCACGTTTTATGCTGAACATCCACATACATAGAAATCATGTCAGCCAGTGTTTTGCTTAGCCTTTCTGTCAAGCCGTTACTCTGGGGGTGGTATGCGGTTGTCTTACGGTGGTTCGTGTAACTGAGTTTGAAGATGTCGTCCCACAGTTTTGCCGTAAACGCTGTCCCTCTGTCAGTGATGATGACTGACGGGGCGCCGTGGCGAAGCACTATCTGGTGCATGAAAAACTGGGCGACTTCAGATGCTGTACCGCGTGGCAGTGGCTTCGTTTCAGCGTAGCGGGTCAAATAATCAGTTGCGACAATGATCCACTTGTTTCCAGAGTGAGACAAAGGGAACGGTCCAAGAAGGTCCATTGCAACTTGGTCAAACGGCGTACGCGGTGGGTCGATGGGTTGTAGGAGGCCTGCAGGCTTTACAGGTGGTGACTTGCGACGCTGACATTCGCGGCATTCTTTCACGTAGCGTTTCACACAAGCTGCAAGTCTTGGCCAGAAATATAGCTGTCGTACCCGGTTGAGCGTCCGTGAGTATCCCAGATGGCCGGATGACGGCTCGTCGTGGCAGGCTAATAGGATATCATCACGAAGGTCTTGAGGAACGACTAGAAGATAAGATCTGCTGCCGGTACTGGTGTTTTTCTTGTATAATACGCCGTGTCGTAAGCAAAATGACGGCCACGTACGGGAAAGTTGTCGAGGAACCGACACGGTGCTGCCTTCTAAATGGTCAATGATGGGCCTTAATTCGGGGTCCGCTCGTTGCTTACAGAGGAGGTCCGCCCCACTAAGAGTCACCAGGAAGGCACTGTCATCTTCCACAGCTGCATGGTCGGATTCTAAATGTGCTTGTGATAGCGTGTCGGCGTCTTCACGCTTTCTACCCGACTTGTAGACGATGGTGACATCAAACTCCTGAAGTCGCAGACTCCAGCGTGCTAATCGCCCAGAGGGGTCTCGGAGGTTAGCCAACCAACATAAAGCTTGGTGATCCATCACAACTTTAAATGGGCGCCCATAGAGATAAGGCCTGAACTTTGTAATCGCCCATATTACCGCGAGACATTCCTTCTCTGACGTTGAATAGTTGGTTTCGGCACGTGATTGAATAGTTGGTTTCGGCAGCAAAGTGCGGCTCGCATAGGCGATCACACGTTCGGTCCCATCTTGTGTTTGCACCAAGATAGCTCCGAGACCAATGTTGCTTGCGTCAGTGCGCACCTCTGTGTCAGCATCCTCATCCAAATGACCAAGCACAGGGAGGGGAAGACAATCGATGTTGCAGTTCCGCGAAGGCAGTCGCTTGTTCGTCAGTCCACAGAAATGGGGTGTCGTCACGCGTAAGTCCGATGAGTGGCTCCGCAATCTTAGAAAAGTTTTCGATAAAGCGGCGATAGTATGCGCAGAGCCCCAAAAATCGTCGAAGACTTTTCTTGTCTGTCGGAGCTGGAAAAGCGGCCACAGCGGCAGTCTTCTCGGGATCGGGCTGAAGGCCTGCAGCGCTCACAACATGACCCAGGAACTTCAGTTCTTTGTAGCCGAAATGGCACTTCTCAGGCTTGAGGGTAAGGTCAGCGTATCGTATAGCTTCAAGAACACTCCGAATGCGATGAAGGTGCTCGTCAAACGTTTTTGAAAAGACAACGGCATCATCTAGATAGACGAGGCAACTTTCCACTCGAGGTCAGCGAGAACGGTATCCATTATTCGTTGGAATGTGGCCGGAGCAGAACAGAGACCGAATGGGAGCACTCGGAATTTATACAGACCGCCAGGAGTTACAAAAGCAGTTTTTTCGCGGTCACGTTCATCAACTTCAATTTGCCAGTAACCACTTTTGAGGTCGATTGAGGAAAAGTACTTTGTTCACCTCAGCCTGTCAAGAGAATCATCCACTCGAGGCAACGGGTACACGTCTTTCTTTGTGACGTTATTCAGCTTCCTATAATCGACACAAAAGCAAAGTGTACCATCCTTCTTCTTTACAAGGACCACTGGTGATGACCAAGGGCTGCTCGATGGCTGTATTACACCGTCTTGAAGCATTTCCTTCACTTGCTTTTGAATCACGCGTCGTTCAGTTGGTGAAACTCGGTAAGGCTGTTGCCGTATAGGGTGCGCGTCGCCGTAGGTGACAATACGGTGTTTGATAATCGATGTTTGACGGATCCTTCATGAACGAGCAAAACAGGCGTGGAATTCTATCAATAAGTCGTTAAGCCTTCGTTTGTTTTCGTCAGAAAGCGTTGGATTTACGTCAACACACTGGAGAGGTGCTTCGGCATTATCAGTCGCCTCGAGCAAAACACTCAGTCACATTGGTTACTGGGTAGGCATAGGCGATGACAGTACCAGTGAAAAGGTGTCGGCGCTCGTAGCTGAAGTTTGTAACAAGAACCTCGCAGTGGCCAGCCTGGAGGTCTACTAGGCGTCGTGCTACGCAGATACCCTTGGAAAAGAGTAAGGATCGATTGCTCTCCGCGACCATTTCAGCATGTGCTGATTCATTACACGCCACTCGAACCATAACACTTGAGGACGGTGGAATCATCACATCATCGTCAATTACACGCAGACATACTCGATCGTGGCTGGGATTATGCTCTGGTGTGGCGCTTTTTGTTGAAAATGTGATGAGGCGTTGTCGAATGTCGATGATAGCACCATGCTCCCTCTGGAAGTCCATGCCAATGATCAGGTCTGGAGAACACTGACGGAGAACGCTCAAGCTGACAACAACGGTAGAATGACGAATCTGTATTCGTGCTGTGCAAACGCCAAGTGGCATGACGACGTGCCCGCCAGCAGTACGAATTGGCCTGAGGTTCCAAGGCATCGTGACTTTCTTGAGGAGAGCAGCCTGTTTTTCACTTATCGAAAAATCCGCACCCGTGTCAACTAAAGCACTGACTTTGCGACCGTCGAGCAGCACTGAAATGCCTAACGAAATCTTTGCGGAACCATCTGGTGTCGTCGTCGTCGGGGTATCGTCAGTTT